TGCATGCAAGACAATGAATGATGCACTCATGCAAGCATAAGGTATGCTAAACATAACATGTCCCTAAAACTAACCAACATAAGCCAGTAAATAAAAAGGAGAAAGAAGGGGGGGTGGAAGACATGCACACACACACGCACCCTTATTACAACATATATGCCCTCGCGGGGAGGGTCCGAATAAAAGTCCAAGTGTCCAAATATAGTACAGTCCAAAGCGAATAAATAACTAGCTAAGTCTAAGCTAATTAAAATATTACAACTCAAAATGAATTAGCTAATTAATAAATTAACTAAGCTAAGCTATTACACATATTAAACAATCTCGGGACACGAGGGATGCACGCATGCTCGTCTAGTCTCTTCCCGAAATCCATTGCCCTACCCACTCATGCCTCTGTTTGCATTTGATTTGCTCACTGGAATTGCACCAACTTTTGAAGTTCTCTTCTATTCCAACTAAATTGGACCTGCTGAGCTCAAAAAAGGGTTGTCGACCACTTTTTTGTGTTGTAGGCTACTTCCTATGGCCGGTCGGCCACTTTTTCTTTGAATCTCTGGTTTTGGCTGCAACAGAGAGCAATAGGGGCAAAGCAGTGTATTTGTAAGAAAATGTGTGTACTACTACACTTTTCATCATGTCTCAAGCTCAAAGAAGAGTAGTGCTCGGCTCTCAAGCCATCAATCAAGCACCTCAATGCATGATGGCTTGAAACCAAGCTTGCACAACCTTAGTGAATGCACACATAACACCCAAAAAAAATGCCACCACCCTATCACGCCTAATCAAGGGTATTGGCGACTACGAAATGCGACATGTTTCATCACTTAAGAATTGTAAAAGGAAACATGAAGAAATATCTGCATCAACTTCATCATCATGTGTTTCGCATGATGTTCCAGAGATTCAGAAAGAAGATGATATAAAGATATATCAATCAAAGAAGATTATCATTAGTCCAAGTTATGTTCTGGGAAGAAGACATAACATTGATGTGGAAGATTGTTTCGAGGCAAAAGAATTGTCAGTAAAGACAGAAGGATTCAAAGTTGTATATAGATTTGGCAGTGGGTTTCAGAATTGAAACTAAAAATATATGAATATGTTATGAAGTATTTGTAATTGTTTTCGATCATTTGTGATGTACACAGTATTTGTTTGACATGGTCATGATATAATAATTGTTATGGAATAATAAAAGGCCAAAACATTTTACTGAGTCTCAGTGTCAGAATTAATTATTTAATTTATTATATTTTTTCTCTCTCTTACTTTCCCTTTCCAATTAATTTCTTAGCCCTTAAGTCTTTGTGAGTTCGCGTATGGAATATGCTTCAAGATATTTTAAATTAAAGTGAAAGGCGGTACCGTCTATTTTATTCGCTGGCCCACAAAAAGGATACGTTGGTGCCTGACGGCCTGAAGAAACAACGTAGCCTTTTTGTGGGCCAGCGAATAATGTAGCTGGCATTCTCCAAAACCAAGAAACAAATAAAGCATAAAGCAACAAGCCACTTTTTTTTATTAAAGTTCAATTAAATGTATCCGATCCTCGGATACTTTAGAATAGTCTGGAAGCACATTACACAATACAACTACGTGTATTGGACAAAAGTACATTACATGTGACTCGTATTTCTGATTAAACAATACGCCATCTTTAAAATGTTCAATTATATCATATCTTATATCTTGACACCTGGCGGCATCAAGAATTGCAATATTCTGATAATCATAAGCAAATATGACGTCTTCCCTTCTTCCTCCATTGAACATGATCGCTCTTTTAGTAGCAATAAGGTATATACCAAATGTTGATTTGCCTTCACCTCCCTTACGACCATATACCCAATATATGGTACGTCTATCTGGAACAACTTCTAAAATCACCAACAATTGTTTCTGCCATTCTACCAGATCTAACTCTAAGAAACGTCTATTAAATTCTTCCTGGTAATATATTGAACGAGCTTTCTGTCTTTCCTGATAATTCTTATGTCTGGAAACAATCTTCCACATCAATGTTATGTCTTCTTCCCAGAGCATAACTTGGACTAATGATAATCTTCTTTGATTGATATATCTTTATATCATCTTCTTTCTGAATCTCTGGAACATCATGCGAAACACATGATGATGAAGTTGATGCAGATATTTCTTCACGTTTCCTTTTACAATTCTTCAGAAAGCCTTCGGCTTCTTCTTTCATAGGATCTACACATGACATCTTCAATTGCATACTAGTTCTAACGAACACCAGCAAACAGCATCTCCAACAACGTGAAACATAACATGTTGAACTCTATCAACATGTATACAATAGCACAATATACGATAATATCGTATGTTAAAAACATATATATGGACAAATATATTTTCTCTAATTAACAAACGTTTCGCTCTTTACTATACCACTTAGAGAGAGAGACTCTGGACTAGAGAGAGAAACTCTCGACTAGAGAGAGAGAGAGAGAGCGAGAGATGAAATAATTTCATCTCATGACCTTTAGCCTTTAAATATCCCTCTAGACACATAAAGCAACTATGATAAGATTATAACACTTGTTATCATAGTTGCTTTATGTGTCTAGAGGGATATTTAAATGCTAAAGGTCGTGAGATGAAACCATTTCATCTCTCTCGATCTCTCTCTAGTCAAGAGCTTCTCTCTCTAGTCTAGAGTCTCTCTCTCTAAATGGTATAGTAAAGGGCGAAGCGTTTGTTCATTGGAGAAAATATATATGTCCATGTATATGTTATTAATATACGATATTATCGTATATTGTGCTATTGTATACATGTTGGTAGAGTTCAACATGTTATGTTTCATGTTGTTGGATGTTGTTTGCTGGTGTTCATTAGAACTGGTATGCAATTGAAGATGTCACGTGTAGATCCTATGATAGAAGAAACCGAAGGCTTTCTGAAGAATTGTAAAAGGAAACGTGAAGAAATATCTGCATCAACTTCATCATCATGTGTTTCGCATGATGTTCCAGAGATTCAGAAAGAAGATGATATAAAGATATATCAATCAAAGAAGATTATCATTAGTCCAAGTTATGCTCTGGGAAGAAGACATAACATTGATGTGGAAGATTGTTTCCAGAAAGAAGAATTATCAGGAAAGATAGAAAGATTCAAAGTTGTATACAGATTTGGCAGTGGGTTTCAGAATTGAAACTAAAAATATATGAATATGTTGTGAGGTATTTGTAAGTGTTGTAGATCATTTGTGATCTACACAGTATTTGTTTATGACATAGTCATGATGTAATAATTATTATGGAATAATAAAAGGCCAAAACATTTTACTGAGTCTCTGTCTCAGAATTAATTATTTAATTCATTATATTCTTTCTCTCTCTTACTTTCACTTTCCCATTCATTTCTTAGCCCTTAAGTCTTTTTGAGTTCGCGTATGGAATACGCTTCAAGATATTTCAAATTAAAGTGAAAGGCGGTTTCAGCTACTTTATTCACTGGCCCACAAAAAGGCGACGTTGTTTCTTCAGGCCATCAGGCAATGTGCCATCCTTGCGCTTGGGGTTATGTTGCCATTATACCGTTAGTGGTGTCACGTGATATATATCACGTGCTTATTGTATGAAAGAACAGACAAGAGTTGAAGGTCCATGGGAATTTGATACTTGGATTGAGTCCGACTCATCCAAGCCTAAATTGAGTGAAGTGATAAAGAGAGCTTTCGCTGGGGAATCCTTAGAGCAGATTATGATTGACGATCCAGAGAGTTATTAAAAACACAAAGGAGCGTTGAAGAAAGCTCGTTCAATATATTACCAGGAAGAATTTAACAGATGTTTCTCAGAGTTAGATCTGGCAGAATGGCAGAAACAATTGTTGGTGTTTTTAGAAGATGTTCCAGTTAGACGTACCATATACTGGGTACATGGTTGTAAGGGAGGTGAGGGCAAATCAACATTTGGTAAATACCTTGTTGTTACTAAAGGAGTGTTCATGTACAATGGAAGAAGAAGCGAAGACGTCAAATTTGCTTATCATTATCAGAATATTGCAATTCTTGATGCCGCTAGGTGTCAAGATATAAGATATGATATAATTGAATATTTTAAAGATGGCGTATTATTTAATCAGAAATATGAGTCAAATGTAATGTATTTTTGTCCAATACACGTAGTTGTATTGTGTAATGTGCTTCCAGACTATTCTAAAGTATCCGAGGATCGGACACATTTAATTGAACTTTAATAAAAAAAAAGTGGCTTGTTGCTTTATTCGTTTCTTGGTCGTAAAGAATGCCAGCTACTTTATTCGCTGTCTCACAAAAAGGCTACGTTGTTTCTTTAGGTCGTCAGGCAACAACGTATCCTTTTTGTGGGCTAGCGAATAAAGCAACTGGCACCGCCTTTCACTTTAATTTGAAATATCTTGAAGCGTATTCCATACGCGAACTCACAAAGACTTAAGGGCTAAGAAATGAATTGGAAAGTGAAAGCAAGAGAGAGAAAGAATATAATGAATTAAATAATTAGTTCTGAGACCGAGACTCAGTAAAATGTTTTGGCCTTTTATTATTCCATAATAATTATTACATCATGACTACGTCATAAACAAATACTGTGTAGATCACAAATGATCTACAACACTTACAAATACTTCACAACATATTCATATATTTTTAATTTCAATTCTGAAACCCATTGCCAAATCTATATACAACTTTGAATCCTTCTGTCTTTACTGATAATTCTTGTCTGGAAACAATCTTCCACATCAATGTTATGTCTTCTTCCCAGAACATAACTTGGACTAATGATAATCTTCTTTGATTGATATATCTTTATATCATCTTCTTTATGAATCTTTGGAACATCATTCGAAACACATGATGATGAAGTTGTTGTAGATATTTCTTCATGTTTCCTTTTACAATTCTTCACAAAGCCTGCGGCTTCTTCTATCGCGGGATCTACATGTGACATCTTTAATTGCATACCAGTTCTAACGAACACCAGCGAATAGCATCTCCAACAACGTGAAACATAACATGTTGAACTCTATCAACATGTATACAATTGCACAATATACGATAATATCGTGTATTAATAACATATATATGGACATATACATTTTCTCCAATGAACAAACGCTTCGTCCTTTACTATACCATTTAGAGAGAGAGACTCTAGACTAAAGAGAGAAGCTCTCGACTAGAGAGAGAGCGAGAGAAATGAAATGGTTTCATCTCACGACCTTTAGCATTTAAATATCCATCTAGACACATAAAGCAACTATGATAAGATTATAACACGTGTTATCATAGTTGCTTTATGTGTCTAGAGGGATATTTAAAGGCTAAAGGTCGTGAGATGAAATCATTTCATCGCTCTCGCTCTCGCTCTCTCTCTCTCTCTCTCTCTCTCTTTAGTCCAGAGTCTCTCTCTCTAAGTGGGTATAGTAAAGAGCGAAGCGTTTGTTAATTAGAGAAAATATATTTGTCCATATATATGTTTTTAATATACGATATTATCGTATATTGTGCTATTGTATACATGTTGATAGAGTTCAACATGTTATGTTTCACGTTGTTGGAGATGCTGTTTGCTGGTGTTTGTTAGAACTGGTATGCAATTGAAGATGTCACGTGTAGATCCTATGATAGAAGAAGCCGAAGGCTTTGTGAAGAATTGTAAAAAGAAACGTGAAGAAATATCTACATCAACTTCATCATCATGTGTTTCGCATGATGTTCCAGAGATTCAGAAAGAAGATGATATAAAGATATATCAATCAAAGAAGATTATCATTAGTCCAAGTTATGCTCTGGGAAGAAAACATAACATTGATGTGGAAGATTGTTTCCAGACAGAAGAATTATCAGGAAAGACAGAAGGATTCAAAGTTGTATACAGATTTGGCAGTAGGTTTCAAAATTGAAACTAAAAATATATGAATATGTTTTGAAGTATTTGTAATTGTTTTAGATCATTTGTGATGTACACTGTATTTGTTTGTGACGGAGTCATGATATAATAATTATTATGGAATAATGAAAGGCCAAAACATTTCACTGAGTCTCAGTCTCAGAATTAATTATTTAATTTATTATATTCTTTCTCTCTTACTTTCCCTTTCCAATTAATTTCTTAGCCCTTAAGTCTTTGTGAGTTCGCGTATGGAATACGCTTCAAGATATTTCAAATTAAAGTGAAAGGCGGTGCCAGCTACTTTATTCGCTAGCCCACAAAAAGGATAAGTTGTTGCCTGACGACCTAAAGAAACAACGTAGCCTTTTTGTGGGACAGCGAATAAAGTAGCTGGCATTCTTTAGAACCAAGAAACGAATAAAGCATAAAGCAACAAGCCACTTTTTTTTATTAAAGTTCAATTAAATGTATCCGATCCTCGGATACTTTAGAATAGTCTGGAAGCACATTACACAATACAACTATGTGTATTGGACAAAAGTACATTACATGTGACTTGTATTTCTAATTAAATAATATGCCACCTTTAAAATGTTCAATTATATCATATCTTATATCTTGACACCTGGCGGCATCAAGAATTACAATATTTTGATAATCATAAGCATATATGACGTCTTCTCTTCTTTCTCCATTGAACATGAACGCTCCTTTAGTAGCAACAAGGTATTTACCAAATGTTGATTTGCCTTCACCTCCCTTACGACCATATACCCAATATATGGTACGTCTATCTGGAACATCCTCTAAAAACGCCAACAATTGTTTCTGCCATTCTGCCAGATCTAACTCTGAGAAACATCTATTAAATTCTTCCTGGTAATATATTGAACGAGCTTTCTTCAACGCTCCTTTGTGTTTTGAATAACTCTCTAGATCGTCAATCATAATCTGATCTAAGGATTTCCCAGCGAAAGCTCTCTTCATCACTTCACTCAATTTAGGTTATCTGATCTAAGGATTCTACAGTGAAAGCTCTCTTCATTACTTCACTCAATTTAGGCTTGGATGAGTCGGACTCAATCCAAGTACTAAATTCCCATGGACCTT